AGCAGAAAAAGCCAAGTCCGCTGCCTGCCCCCCCCCCCAAACAAGGGCTGCTAACGTGCTCTTGTTTTCTTGGCAGATCTGGGAGCGTGGCGCAGAACTGGCGTGAAATCTTCGACTTCGTAAAGCAGCTGACAGAAAGATTTGTGAGGTGCGTGTTGCTCCTGGTGCATCCGTAAGACCTCCTGCTTTTGTAAGCTCGGTAGATAACGTTTCACAAACGCGTTTGGAGTTTGGCTTCCAGGGCCCAAATTGCTGTGAGATGCTGGAAACTTCATTTTCTCTTGCTTGGAGCTCAGTAAACAGTTAGTAATATGCATCTCTAAAGACTTTGTCTGTAAAATTACTCTCAGATGTAATTTTTGATAGTTTTTTGATCTTTTTTTTTTCCCCGTGAGTCATGTGGATCATTTTTGATGGAGTACTTCTTGTATATTGCTTGTAGAGATCCACATTGAGAAGGCAATCTGCATACATGTCTATGGATAGGTAAATATGTGGTGCAGGTCGAAAGGAAGGGAGTATCTTTCAAGCTCAAACGTACAGGAAGTTTATGCCATGTCAACAGTACATTTGTTGTACATATATGTAATCAACTTTTTAACCGGCCAGGACTATCATCTGGCAAGTACTGCTGCCACAGAAACAGCGGTTGTAAATACGGGCTAGCTGTACGCTGTACAAACACTTGAGGATTCCTGTGATGCAGCATTTTGCTTTTAAAAAAACCCACAAACAATAAAACAAAGGAAGCCCCCCAAAGACACAGGCGTAGATGTCGTGGTAGGTTTAGCTCTGGAAAATGAAGTGCAGTGGGCAATCCTGGCATGCTCATAAAGGGATACAGTTAGGCTTGCATAATTAAATATTGCTTACATTAATCTTGTAAAAAGCAAATCTTCTCTAAACCAAATGGGTGACACAGCTTTTGAAAGTTATTTTGTAATCTCTAGAATAAAAAAACCAAACAGAACAAAAGCAGCCTGAGGACAACAAAGCAGCACTACTCTGCGTGTGGTAAAAAAATACATTTGCCCCCATTGAAAGGGTGGTGCTCGTTCAGTGTAACCCTTTCAGTTGGTCCTCTTTTGCAGCCAAACGACGCCCACTTTTGCAGCAGTCCTGTAGCGGTCCGGCTGCATTATCTGAAATAAAGCTGCTGAGTTGGCAACTTGTTCCGCTGACCGTTCGCACCAGAGGAAGATCAGTTATGGTGCAGAGCCAGACGATCCAACCTGTGAGCATCTCGCTCCGTGTCCGGGTGCGGAGCGCCCAGCCTTCTGTGGCACAGACCCTTCACAGCAGGACGGTTCTCGCGCTCCTGTGGGAGCCTGAACAGTACGTGTCCCCGTGTGCTTCCCCCATGGGGCCGGAGTGCGTCTGGAGGCTGATGGAGCTTGGTCCTGCCTTCAGGCCTCTCCACTTTGACAGCAGGACAGTAATTCTTGGGGGTGCAGCCGCTCTCCGGGTTGACTTGTCGGAAATGTGCGTGCTGGAAGCAGTGCCACTGCCTGAGGATCACGTTGGTTCTGAAAGGCCTGCGCCCGGCAGGGCTCTCGGGTGCGTTCACACCGTCCTCCTCCATCATCACCGTGTCTGAGCGGAACAGAAACAGGGTGTCTTGTGAAGAGGACAGTTTTGCGGTTGTCCTAAAGACAAGTTAGCTAAATCCCAGCTCTGAGGTTATTACGCACCGAGAGTTGCATCTCAGATAGGGAAGTCTCCCATTACTTGCGCTGGGTGGTGATGTAATTATTGCAAGTACTCGTTGCTTGTTTGGCAACTGCTTGCTGTAACTTGAGAAGATGGATCATCCCATGGCTCAGATTGTAATTCAAATGAGAGCATCTCAGATATTTGTGTTCAGAGCCTTAACAGGTAGACTGCAAGATTCGATCTTAAATCCAAGATCCGTGCAGTTCTGTGCAAACACTTTCCCAGTACTTGTATTTCCATGATGTCAATAATTTTAAGTTGCATCATTGACCTAAGTGAACTGAACATGTATCGTCATTCATCTTTACAAGTGTTAGGTCTCTACTGACATTAACCTGATTAATTAATGCTGATACACATATACAGTGAGTTATAAAATTACTGAATGTATTGAAATTGTCGTGAATAAAAATTAAAAGCAGATAGGAGAGAAGTTGTTACAACTTACCTTAGGAAAGTTACTGCCTTGGGCTTCCGCAGTATCAGTTCTTACGCATTTTCCACAAACAGCTGGATATAATTCCTCATAGTCTTGCTGGAAGAGGCACGTAGGCTTATGCAAAAGGAGACTTAATTCCTTAATAAAATCAATGCATACAGTATTGCGTTTTAAAACGACGTTTCCCCAGACGCTTTTAGGGAAGTTGGTTTTAAATGACACTACTCTGTGTCACTAAAACAAAACTGTAATTCTGAAAGAGGTTGTTAGGCTACTTTTTCAGAGATGAATCAGTTGGAAGGCACTGTTTCTTGGACCTTGATGATTTTATCACCAAAAAGCACAGTGTGAAATTTACCTTGTGTCAACATCAGGCTCTAAAAAGGGGAAACTGACTTTGGAATGTGTCTGTGTGTGATACCCCAGAGCAAGAGTGTACCTGGAGTCTATGTCCCTGACTTATTTTTACGCCAGCGACTGTGAAAATATAAAAGGATGTGTTGTTTTCTGTCCGTTGGTAGATCACAACCTATGAAGTTCACTTTCATTTGGGTTGCGTGAGATCTTAATTGTTGAGCTTGACCTGGAGTCTAGCCAGGCAAAACAGAACAATGATTCTGCTTCTTCATTCTCCAAGCGTCTGGGTAAGGAGTAGATGGGCAGAAATCCTTTAATTGCTCTCTCGTTCTGGATTTGTAGTTCAAAAGTCTGTTCTTTGGAAGTTGAAGGATAAAGATGATACCAATGAGGCATGAATAAGTGAACGAAATGCTGTACATCTGTACATTTCTCTTCATTTGTCTAAATTTTTTTTTTTCCTCTTTCCTTTTTTTAAAAGCCCCAAGATGAGATTATCGTTTATCGTGTTTTCCACCCAAGCACACGTCATTCTGCCATTAACTGGAGACAGGTTAGTGCACTGCTTTTTTAATTCTCCCCTCTCTCCTCCCCTGCAAGGGCTCTTATTAAATCAGAGGAACAGTAACAGATACTGAATAATAACTGATACCTTTAAGTGGTGGCCAGTCTTGAAGCCTCCGTGCAGAGCTGGATTTAATTTTGTGAACATATCAATGGATAGCCTAGTGAAAAAGGAAGGAGAAAACCAATGAGAAATAAATTTTCCATGTGAGCTCTGCCACTGCTTTGCAGAACAACAAGTCATGTTTTCATCTCCGCATGACTCTGCGTCTTCCTTGGCGCAGCAGGAGAAACGGTTCTCACTTTTACTTGAGTAAAGCAGTGTCTGTAGGTAAGTCTTCAGTCTTTTTTCGCATCTGGGTAAAGCAAATAACGGTAAATTAATGTTTCCTATAATCTCATACAAGGTAGGCATTTCATTTTGTATTTTCAAATCAGAACTTCACAATAGGCTTTAGACAGCGGAGTTGGTGCCGCTTTAGAGGTGTGAGATCTTTCTGCCACGGTGGTGATGTATGGATGTGCCTGAACTCTTCCTTTCAATTCATGTTTTCGAATGGCAATGGAATTCACGGTTGCTCGCGGTGATTTCTAAAGCAAATAAGGACTGGCAGCTAGGATAAGTCAGGGGTAAACGAGGGGAAACAAAAAAGAGAAGAGTGCATAGAAAAGATATTCTTGCAAAATTAACTACTAAAATCATAGAAACTGGAAAAGGGTATTGTGGAATCGATGCTTTCGGCAGAGGACAGTTGCAGTGTCGTCAGACTCCGTCAGTGCCCTTTCGGCGTTGTCAAAAACAACACCACCTCCTCCGTCTGTCCCTTCTGCCCAGGAGCTACCCACAGTGCACAACTTTCTGGAATTTGAACATGTGGGTGAACCATTTAGGAACCATTTCAACGAGCCCTGGCAGAGTGGAAGTGAGGTAGTTCTCCCTTTCTGCTCCCTTTAGTAGGGTCAGTACAAAGTGTGGTCTGCCATAGTCAGTTAGTTTAGTGTGGTGTTTGTTTTTTTTTCTTTAAAAAAAAAAAGTGCGTAACAGCGAGTACAAGACTTATTGAAGAGGTTCTGCATCTACTCTTTGCAGGGAGACACAAGGGTATAAGCCATTTTTCCAGATGGCTCGAGAGGGGTCAGGAGAGGACACTTAAGCCTGTTCTGAGGACTGCTGAAGTCAATGAGATCCTTTCTCCTGCTTTCAATAGGCCCTTAATCCCTGTCAGTGGCCCGTTCCGTATGGAGCACAGCGAGTCGGCGCTGATAGCAGACAGACCGCTTGGAATGCTCGGGCGGAACTCGGGAACTCCACCACAGGAACACAAGTGCCTTTTTCATGGCGTGTCTGTGGCACACTTCAAGCCGTGGAAGGAACCTGTTTTTCTTGGAAGCCTCATTTAAAGCATAGGAAGAACCTTTTTGTGTTCCAGTGGGTTCCTTTGTGGGACTTGTCTTTAACGCGAGGCTCAGCGATACTTCTGTGTGTGGTAGGGGAAAGGAAGTCGCTGCCCTTACTGTTTAGGGGGAATTACAGAAAAGGAAAGAGAAGTAACTGTGGCCGTACGAACCTAGGTAAGAATGGATAGGTACAGTTGGAACAGCTGTCCTTTAAATTATTAAAGAAGTCAAGAGAGGAAAACGACTTGGAATGTCTAACTCCCATTGTTCCAGACAAAAGATGAGGATGCTAAGTGCGGTGCGGTTTTGGGGATGGGTGTGTATGTGTGTGTGATTATGGGATATTATGGCCTGGGGTTTTTATGTGCATTTTGGACTGGCAAGGATGTGTCTCCCCTTGCTTACTTACTAATTGGCAAACATCAGGAAACCACAATTGATTCCCAGCAGTTAGTTCAAAGTAGGCAGGTCTTTTTTGTTTTGAAAGCCTCAGGCTTCTCATTGTTTGCTCAAAGTTCTCACTGTTTTTTACTGCATAATAAAGCTATGGATATAAAGAATCCCACACAATAGCACTGAAGCCTCCGGATTACCAAATACTTTGTGACTATGAACAGTGCTATGTGAATAACTGTGGAAACAGAAGTCCCTGTTAACCACAGCACACACAATGCTATAATAGATACATGGAATAAAAGTAACATCCAGATGGAAAAAGACTTCTCACAGTGGTTATAGCCCATTTTAAACATACACACTTTCCCTGTGAAGTTTAGCTGGAAACGATACGCTAACTGGAAAACAGAGATTTGTGCACTCACCTTTGGGGCTCAGTTTTGCTGCTTGTTTTGAGAAGCAAGTTGTTTGGAAAAGCGGATACACTTGGGAATATCATCCAGATGGCACAATATCTTCTGCATTCTCTTTTGGTCGACTGTATGCTGGCCAGCAGAATTTCAGGTTTCTGTTAACTTGCCTCTGCTCCGTTGACCAACGTCCATGGCCAGGACTAGCCCTGCTGACTCTGCTTAGGTGTAACTCCTGTTGAAGCTAAAGAAAGGTTGTATTAATGAAGGTGGAAAAATAGGACACTTAAGGCCTGGTACATGACTGTTCCTTACTGTGCTTGTCCCTAGTCTGGAGGAGTTCACTGACTGTTCATTTGTTGTACAGAGAGATGCAGCCTAGCAAGACGTTTATGCCTTTTGAGCCTCGGTCACGTGAGCTAACCCTACGCTTCGGTTCAAGCAGCTTGCCAAAATCAGGCCATCTGCAGAAAGCGTGTTCTGCTGAGCATATGAAGTACAGCAAAGTCAGCTGCTTACGTGTTTTCCATCTGGAGCCAGCGCAGGAGGCCTAAAGTTTCAACCAGAATAACGATTATAATCGTACCGAGCCCTCTGTAGTATGCAGGAGCCTCCTCCAAATTAGGCATGTAACCAGACTGATGAGCAAGGTTTGCTTTCACCAGTAGGACAGTTCTGTTTGTTAGCGATGTTTCTGCTGCTTTGTTTTGCTAACAAGTTTGTGTGTTTTCCTGTTGTTGTGCTTCCTTCTTAGCAGCAAACCCCAAGTACCTGTTTTGTTTGCCTTTATTTGTTAGAGATAAAGCACGTGGCCTTGCAGGCACACAGCCTTGTCCCTGATGACAGACATAGGCTCCCTGGGAATCAAAATGTCCCTGCCAGCGCTCATACTTTCAACACACTGAAAAACGATTCCAGGTTCCAGCACTTCCATAGGTAGAATGCAACATGGAAAAGAAATAATAAGATACTGTCCACCGTTCAGCAGAGCCAAGAACACCACCACTTAAAACTGCAGAGATACTAATGGAGACTCAGTGTTTCTTACCAGGCTGGCCCCTTGCCCAACTGAACTGGCACGGTCTGAGGCTTGCGTGACAGTTTCAGCTGCTTCTAACCTCTGCAGCACGAAGGGGCAAGCACGAAATCTTCTCCCTAAAAAAAGTCAAGGGTGTGAGTGGTTTTTGAGACTCGGTTCTCAAGCATGCTTTGCTTTCTAGCAAGTACAAGCCTTTCTTTGTACATGTTGAAGACGAGTTTATTTCCTTTGAGGCGAAGGATCGTCCCTTTCTGTTCAGTGTGCTGTCAAAGGCAGTGTCTCGTCTCTGAGAAACTAAGGCAGCCTGTGCTTTCTACCTGCTTTGTAGCTTTATCGTTGGTCCCCTCTTGGAGGAGTCATCTACATCCTGCTGCAGCAGAAGGCAGCACTACCTGTCCTCCGCTGCCAGCGCGCGCTGGTGGTGGCCCTGTCTAGGCAGGAAAACAAGGCAATGCCTTTAAAACATCAGTAGTCCGACCGCTTGGCTGCTGCCAACGCGGCTCTTAGCATTGCGTCAGTTAAACTTACTCGAAGCACGAGATGGTACTAAGCAGCAATAAAGACAGTACCTGTTGAGTTGCCGAAATAAAAGCGTGCAGCTTGGTGCAACAGAGAGTGGGGATAGATGCCTTGGAATAATTCAAACTCTGAAAGGCACACGGTTACCTTTAGACTCGAAAGTAAACCTGAATCACCGTGGAGCGTCCCAGGTGAGGAGAGGTTGCTGCATTTCAGTTGTTTGCGTAGCTGGGCTGCTGTGTAATCTCTCTTCGCTGCACGTTTTCGGCTCTAAGTTCAGTCCCGCAGTGGCCCGCCTTGGGGAGGCACAGAAGGTGCAGTACCGGCTCGGCACAGACGCTGCCCTGCGCGGGGAGCAGTGTTGGCAGACAGACCCGTGTGCCTGGCAGCGGTCGGCACAGCCTCCGGCACGGCAGACGAGCCCTCGCCGCTGCGGGGTGCGCCGC